TTAATACTACCATATAAATAATATTCATAATTACGGAGTATAGCCATTTAAACTCAGATGTTTCATGTTTCTCAAATTTGCAGATAATAATGATTTCTGAAGAATCATGTGACACTGAAGAGAAATGGCTGATGTCAAACCAAAATTGAAACATTGTAAGATTTATTAATATATCAAAGTTCCTTTAAGGCCAGTCATTTCTCTTTGTGGCCATCTTTGAAAGGCCTCTCGGGAGGTATGCTCAGGCATTCTGTCTGAATGAGGAAACATGAAATTCCCCAAAACTGTTTGCCAAGCTTATGACTACATTAAATATTTGGAATCACCAATAAAATTAGCCAACAACTGTCTCATAAGTATCATTTCTAAACATACAAATCAAACAAAAAATTTTAGGTTGCCCAAGCTACATGCACACTTGAAAAGACCGAGATCACAACACCAACCTCCTTTATGGCAGTTACACATTGTCATCCTCTGGATTATACTTTGTCAAATTGCACTGGTCTTTTGAAGCAATTCACAACTTGGTCTTGATGCTGAATATTCTCTAGAAAAGACAGGGACTCTTTGTTTACAAGTTTGTGTGGCGTTTGAATAGTTGTGTCATGTGATGTCCATTTGACAGGAGTGACTCTACCTCACGTTCGTTTCATACAGATTGCAATACTAAAAAAATGTTAGTTTTCAAGAACACTTGGTTCATTTTAAAGCACAGATTTCAAGCTTTATTTGGATATATTTCTTAAGTTTGTGAAGCAAGTATACTCGCTGAGATTCCAATGTGTCATAAAAGCACACCTCTGGTCTAAACATCTCCCCCGGAAAAACGTCAGTCTAATAGCAATCGCTGATTGACTCCTGTACTAGTAGGCGGGGCTTCATTTTCCATATTGACCGTTACCCTTTTACCCATTCAAAAATTTACGAGTGACATCTCTTGTGTATTCTATAGTCTTTGATCAGAGATGCCCAAACTACGGCCCGCGGGCCAAAGTGGGCCCATGGTAACCTTTAATTTGGCCATCCCGTCCCATCTGAGAAGAGAGGGATAATGATGAGGATGGTTTAGAGATTTTCAATTAAAATTTAATGTAACCTTTTGTTTGTTTGTTTCATTGTTAAAAGCTAACTGAAACTAAATGTTTCAATTAAATGTAAACTAATCAGATTTTCTTTAAATATGCATTCCGTCACCAACAATGCAGAGAGTTTGGTGAGCAAATCAAGTCAAAGACAGATTCTGCTTGTCTAGTGTATTCAGCATTGAACTTAACTGTGTTATAAATGTGATTGTTTGTATTAATTGCAATAATATCATTTAAAAACTTATACTGTATTAGGTAACATGATTTAAAGTAATGTTTTTTATTTATTTAGAAATATTATGAAAAAATTGGAAATGACCCATAGCAACTTCAATGTAATATAGTTTAGTAAATTTACCTGTGCCCATGACTCTCAATAATATTTGGTTTTTGGCTCCTCATATAGTAAAAAGTTTGGACACCCCTTTCATTAATAATACACAAACAGCCCTATTAAATAACAATTCTAAAAATATTATTTCACACTAATCCCTTTGACTAAACAAAACATAGTTTTAGTGAGAATAAAAGACTTATTTTAAGAAAATGTGAATATTTTTCAAATGAAAAATCAAAGTGGAAATTCCCCATCCCCATTACTCTAATCTTCATTATTCTTAAGAAATCATTCAAATATGCTAATTTCCTTTTGTGTTCAATGTTGCTTGAAAATTAATAATGACGATTCTCCTTTTCATTCTTTTGCTTTTCGTTCTTGTTATTCTTCTTATTCGTGATACATTCTACTTTCAGGAATCCAATAAATAGAAAGTAACATGACAATTTTTTTTTCTGTTGTTTTTGATACATTTTGTGTGTTCTTGATATTTTCAGCATTGACTATCAATGTTATATGCAGTATAAATGTTTTTTTTTTTTTTCAATGTAATGCTTTGACTATTTTAATATACAATTTGGATTTAGATTTGATTCTTTGTAAGCTCAGCAGGTGTCACAAAAAAAAAAAAAAACATGCTTGAGCAACACATGTAATAAGGAGCTTTTCAGTGTACTCCTGCAAAATACTTTGTCCCAAAAGGTAGCCAAGCACAGTCTTAGAGAATAACGGTTTCCCAGCCAAATCCAATAACAAAAAACAATAAGCTGCTTTAAATTTCCTGCAATAATTCCCTGGCTGAAGTGCGTATCTTTAAGACTCTGAGCTCCCCTGATCAACTTATCATTCCCAGACCCAAGAGTCATTACAGCTGCCTGCAGTCTCAACCACTACTGATGGTTCCTGTCCTATTCCACGTTCAGCCAAAATTGGATTTTGATTGCTTTTCACAGGATATTTTTTTAATTAAAGGCGAATGAGAATAGCATGTGAGATTAAGCAATACTTCATGGTTTAATTCCCAAAGAGAGTTATCAAAGAGAGCAAAGCCGTTTAATGGCTTCCTTACAAATATTGCCAATTAAAAAAAAAAAAAAAAGTGACATTTTTCAATCAGAATGAATTACTATGACCCACAGAAAGTAGAAAAAAAAAACTATAACCTTTTGCATTGTAGCAAGAAAAAATGGAAGTATACATTATTTAATGTGTCATAAAAGCCCTGAAGATATTCAATTTCCCTGACATCATATCCTGCCTGGAGCTATAAGCCTTAAAGCCTGTGTGCACTGGATTTTTTGCTTATGTTTACCACCAACATTTAGTGCATTGTGACCACATAAAGAAAACCAATGAGAGCATGTAAACCAGGGGTCACCAACCCTGTTCCTGGAGAGCTACCTTCCTGCACATTTCAGTTGCAACCCTGACCAAACACACCTGTTTGTAATTATCAAGTGCTGCTTTAGGTACTATTAATTGGTTCAGGTGTGTTTGAACAGGGTTGGGACTAAATTCTGCAGGAAGGTAGCTCTCCAGGAACAGGGTTGGTGGCCCCTGATGTAAACCAATGCCCCATTGAAAGTGTATTTAAAAATGCTGATAAAACCCCAACAAATTAATTTGAGTAGTTAAAAAACATATTTTTTTATGCACTTGGGCACATTTGCAGGACTACAAGTTAATTTAAAACCAACTCAACTTACAAAAAACATTTAAAAATCAAATCAGCTTTAACAAAAGCACAGCATCAGAATTAACATTATTGCATCTTAACAAATACTTCTTGAGGTATGGCCACAAGGAATCCTGTTTCAGAAATAACTGCTCTCCCTCAGTTATCTATCCATCAAGAAAGGTTCTCATGTCAGCCTAATTGGTTGCCGGAGTGAGATGTAGTAACGCACCAGTAACGCACCAAAAAGTTTGTTGTTGACCACAGTAAAACAGGAAGAAGAAGAAATTGTCATTCTCGTAATCATATGAATTTACTCTTATCGACTAGGCACCGGCCTCACAGCTCTGTGAATGTCGGTGCCGTCACGTACTGATCCTTGATTGGTTAATGTAGCTTGTGTGGATGCTACTGCGCTACTTGGCTAAAAAATTGCTTTGCTACTGAAAAGCTATTTGATTTAGAAAACAGTTACTGATAAATGGAGTTAAGCTAGTAGCATTCGAGTGTGCTGCAAGCCTACGTTTGAGTGAAGGTTTCGGCCGTTAGATCGCCCCCTGGGGGCTGGCTGCAGTACAAGTCATAAAGCCCGCCTCCTCCGTGTTAATGAAGGAGACTTGAGCCCAAATAAAAAAAAATATTACACTTGCAATAAAATGTCCCGAAAGATAGTTCTGGTTGATTAAGGCACTGGTTATTGTGCTGAAATAGGTGCAGATCTTCATTTTTGTAAACAGTTTGTTTTTAGCAGTAATTTAATGCTGGGCGTGTCATCGTGATTGACAGCTGTGATTGACAGTTTCTCAAAGCGCGGCGTCTGAGCTTCGGCAGGAGACTGAAGTAGACTGAAATTTTATTATTCGATTTCTGTGTTATTTTACCATGACAAAATGAGTTCAGCAGTAAACTATAGTTTCTGACATACATGATCCTGGTGGAACACTGTTTATTCGCTAAGTTCAGGGCTTTTTTCGGGCTTTATTAGTTTGCTGATACACGCCTAGCCACCCAGATAGCAAAACACAGTTCCGGCTAGATTCTCGCCTGCCGGAGACTTATCTCTTAGAGCTCAGACTGACTAATGTTACCTCTGCTGGACCTACTCCGGATGCCTGGACTCACTACCCAATTCCAGCCCGAGTCAATCGAGCCAGATGCGGCGGCCGAGCGAGCAGGCGCTGCCGCATGCGAGCCGGAATCAGCCCGCGACGCCGCGAGTAAGTTATGCGCTGCGGCCTGGAGCTGGCGCGATTGAATATATAAAACCCTCATATTTGTTAACGTTATTACATCCATTTGTGTTGATATGACAGCAAACGCATGCTGAGAAGTTCGGGGGGCGTAGTTGATTTTACATAAAGCGTTTGATTGGAAGCTCGACTCTGCTCATTTTCGCGGCTCCTCCTCTGGCTCCATCAGACAGTCCTTCTGCGCATGTCTGGCTCCAATTTCAGCAGTCTTTTGCGACAGTTTGTGCCCGTCAAGCAGGCGTTTTGCCCTCAAGGCGTTCAATGGGAAAAAGGGCTGTCGCGTCGTCCATATTTTTTACAGTCATTGGTAGCATTACTACATGTAGTGACGCTACTGCCTGGCACTGCCAACAAGCCATAAAAACACTAAAAATATTAAATTTCCCATGACATTATACCCTGCCTGCGGCTGTGAGCCTTACAGTTCAACATAATGTGAACTATTTAAAAGCTGGTTGGACTGAGAGATTGAAGGTTTTGTGTTAAATGCCCGATGGTTAGATTCTGAGGGCTGCTACTGTACTTGCATCTGTGCAGTGCAAAAAATATCTATTAATGTAACAGCAGCCATTTGTGTGAAATGCAAGTGTGAACATTTTCAAGGCTGGTGTGTGATATATGTTCATACTAGCTTGTGTATGTGAATGTACCTCGGTAATGAAGGCCTTGGCAGTGGCGGGACTCATGAACAGCACAGCACGTCTCAGTGTGTCCCTGTAGCGATGCAGCTCTTCCACCCTCATGGTACGGAACATTCCAGTGATCATCATGTTAATATTGGATTCCACCTTCTGGAGAGACACATCCATCCCCTGCTGAGACGTCTGGTCCAGGAAGTTTTCTATGCCCCGGATATCTGAAAAATAACAACAACAACAGACAGTGTCATTCAAACTACGTTCGTTTGCATCTGGTCTGGTTAGAAGTTACTTTCAGAGCTTCCTTTGAACTTTGTATTCACCAAAGCATCTACAAAATATTAAAAAGCACAGCCATTTTCAATATAAATTTTTTGAGCAACAAGCTTATTAAGATGATTTCTGAAGAATGTAAGGAACCATCAATGTTTCCCTGTTTATGTAAAACAATTGTATATTAAACTAGTATATACAAAAGTAGGACAAACTGGACAACATTGTCTTGAAGCAATGGGAAGAGTACAAATAGCATAGAGCAGTGTTAAGTGAGAATGGGAAACCGGTAAGGATCTCAATTCGAGGGTCGCCACATCTATATCATGCTTTAAACAGAGTCTTTCTGGGAAAGAGAGAAATCTCTACCAAAACAAAGCTTGCTGATTACAACTCTACCTATGTGCCTACTCTTACATATGGGTGTAGTCTTAAACACACACAACAACAACAGATTGCAGGTGATGGAGATGTGGTACCTTAAATGAGTTGCTGAAACTTGAGAAACTTATTAGTTGATCCCTATCAGCTCCCAGGTGAAGCATGATATTACACAGAAGAATGAAGATTTCTGCAACTGTCACTGCATAACTATAGTTACAACTAATGTTTGAGCAACTTTATTTCAAACTGTGACCAAACTGACTGGAACTACTTACTGTACATGTGCATTTAAAAATGGTATTGAACACATTCAGCCAATCAGAATGATGTCTGCAGAACATGGACATTTTTATTTTGATTATTATTATTATTATGAAAATGAAATATCTTTAAAGCAAACAAACCATGATTTCAAATAGTCATGCAGGTAGTTTTTGTTTCTTCACTCTGACCAGTGGCTTTCCAAATCAATTTCACTGTATTTATGTGAGTACTCAGAAAGACAGGTATTTTGATTTTAGTATTATTCTGTTCAAGCCTTAACACACAAAAGTGAATGCAAATTGTTATTTGTGTGATACACTATTTGAGATGCAGCTCATTTCTTTTTGTCTTAACAGAAAACAGCAAGCCAATACAAATGATGTTCTCTGATGCAGCTTCTTACATGCGAATGGTGTTAAATCCAATCTAGCATTTGTGAAGATGCAGATGATGGGTATACTTTGCACACCAATCCCCAGATCCCCATGTGTTTTGAGTCACGACTTCTCTGCCATGACCTATGCTGATCATGGATCAAATGAGATCTGTTACATCACTATATAAAGCTCAACCTGCCAAAGTGGATATTGGGATTGACACTTACACACCAAAATCTACTTGCATTTAGAGGGTTGCTGGATGTTAATGTCAGTCCCTGCATGTCTGTTATCAACCCTGCTCAACTGAACATGAGCAGAAGTGCAGAAAGAACACAAGCATTTGCAAAGCATTCAATCGCAGCACTCATTCAAACAGAAAGAGAGAGAGAGAGAGCGGTGCCTGCCAGAGGTCATAACAAAGATTAGAGAGAGATTAGATTTCACACTTAACAATGAATTGATTAAAATGAGATGTGTGGCATGTTTTACATACGTTTAAATTAAATGTTTCTAAAAGACTGATCTTTTTCCATAAGTGCGATTAATTAAGAAAAAACGAGGAGGACTGCACAATGAATGAGAAATCTAATATCAAATGACAAGTCAAATATCAAAGCTACTTTATACAAAGAAAAGTGAAGTAAAGATCCCTTAAAACTGATTATGTATGGTATAAACCAACTAACCAACACTACAGATATTTTTAGTTTTTTAGTTTTTTGTTTTTTAAAGTAACTGTTATTGATTTATATTTTAAGTATAGGTAGAAACAATCCAAGCTCATTTTGCATATGTACACAGGTCTAAATTTCTGGGGACAGTGAAATACGTAACTAGAGGTACATCTGCTTGCGTTTTTTGTTTTTGCAAATTCACCAAATTTGTGTACACTTTTTGATAATCTCAAATTTCTCTTGCCAAAAATAAAGGGCGCAATATGCACTTTAGCCAACTAGACTGACTGACTGACTGATCCACTGACCCTCCATTCCTAAACCAAACTGATAATGTTTTCAAGAGCAATTTAGAAAAAGAAAAGCAGTCACGACTGCATGATTTTACCACATTTTCAGCCTGTTTTTATTTTTTTATTTTTTGCTTTTGTTCTGCCTGGTTTCTGAAACTTTTCTTCACCAGACTTGAACCCTGTCATTATGGTCAACTCAGCTCCACTATCGGTGTATGTGGCGAGCCAATGGGAAAACTGGTAACACTGGAAAAGCTGTCTATATGGAAGTAGGCAAGCTGGTAGTGCTAAAAGTAACAAAACTCTTCAGAGGCATCATACCCTCCCGGTAGTGTTCATTTTAAAGATGAAATGCAGCTATACTGTAGGTATGTTTGGCTACATAATTTGCGCTCTCAAGAAATGTAAACAGGGGTACGTATCCACAATGAGCCTGTATTGGTTAGACAGGTACAGAACAATCTAGCAAAATAATAACTGATTAATGCTTACCTGAAACAATATTTTTTTCCCCAATTATTTTTCAAGGTGTGTATAATGTATTTGAAAATTGATATGTGAAAAATATCAATTCTGCTGTTGTTAATAAATTGAAATTTTAAGAGAATGTTTTCATGTCATGCTTATTGTCCCAATGTGTAATGGCTAAATTCATGTACCCGACCTACTGATTCACAACCTTAAGTGCTAGAGGACTGATTAAGTCGCCTACAGAGTCTACCTAACCATTTCTCTGCTTTAATACACAGCATTGAGCGTAAAATTATAGGTCCAATTTGTTATGTGGCTTCTGCCGACTTGTGCATATGATCTGCTTTGTGAAATAGTTACTCTGGACCAGAGCAGATCGTCTGTGCATTATTTTCTTATATATAAAAGTGTTTATGCAAACGTTCTATATCAATGCTCAATTACATGTGAATAAGTGATTGAATTCTAGTAAGTCTTGTCTTCATGATGCTTCAGATTCTAGAAAGCTTTTAATTGGTCAGAAATATATAATGATATATAAATATGTAAAGCTAAAGTGTATGTTGAAAAAAAAAACTTATATCCATTTTAGTGAAAGTAAGAACATATAAGTTTTGATTTGTTTACTTTTGACTAAAGACTAAATACTTCAAGCTAAATTAATGAATGAACTGGAACTGCCATTAACACAATTCGGCCAAAAAGTTTGTTTGGAGTTCAATTCACCAATTCAAAACAGCCCACCAAAGCGAACATTTAGGGGAAGTTTGTTTTGGCTCCTAAACACCTTTGAGCAACAATTTGTTTATTACGCAATTGTTGGGTGTTTTCTGACTTCTGCCTTATTTGATGTGCTTTGTATTCACATAAGAATGACAGAAGAACATCCAAAACAACAACACCAAACAAATACATTAGAGGCTGGACTTGCAGAGCTTGTACAGATGTATCTGCACCTGTATGATCACTTGTGGAGAGATTTTAAAGACTGGGAGGGCTCACACGCCCACATGAGAAGTGCCAACATTTAAAAAAACAAACAAACAAACAATAGAAGGCTATGTAAAGATGTGGCACCCTGTGGTGGCACTTCTCATTTGGTGTGCGTCAGGATGGAAAAGACTTTTTGCCAGATTTAGTTTTTGCCAGTTTTTGAAACTCTCCTTCTCCCACAACCACAAGTATTATGTTTAAGAGGCACATGCAAGCAAAGTGAATGACACATTTACAACTGCTCACTGAAATGCTGAGCTTGAGTGTTGGAGCTTTTGAAAACCATATATCATCAATCAGCCATTTCAAAGTTCTTTTTGCCTTCAAAAAAAGAATATAAAAAAGCTTTGTTTGAAGTATTTCAGGGTTTAACTTATTGATAATAACCCAAAAATGCTCATTTTTATTTTAGAGGGCATCCTAGAAAAATCTGAATTAAAACTGATATCAACGATACTTGCTATCAGGTGTGAAATAAACCCTCTAACGGGCTTAATCAACCACTTAGTTTTCACTTTCTGCATTACTGTGATGAGCGTGAAGAACAAGAATGCATTAGCATGTGTGCTAGCAGAGCACAGAAGTGGGCGACATCAGAAACCTGTGTCGAACATTTATCACTGCGGTGTGGCGAGGCAGAAGTGCTGTCTCAGGGCTGCGCTAAATAAAAGATGTATTTCACAGAGAAAGAGCTGCTGCACACTCATCCCTCTGTGCAGGCGGCCCTTCCCTACATCAAACCCTTTCCACCGGAGCGGGGAGGCGTTGAGAATGCAGGATCAAAGTGTCCCTGAAAGATGGGACTGGGGCGAAGAAACCGGGGGGAATAAAGGTGGGGGGTGTTAAAGGTGAGACCATCTCTGTGTGTTTGTGTGTGTGTGTGTGTGTGTGTGTGTGTGCGTGCGTGCGTGAGTTTGTGTGTGTGTCACAGATGTGAAGACTTTCAGGAAGAAAATCGTATGAAAGAATATTTACAGTAGGTAGCCCTTCAGCTATGAGGCACTGAAAGAAATAGTAATATCATGTTTGTGTTTTAGATGCATAACCAAAACAAAAACAACATGGCTGGCCAAACCAATTTAAACTGATATTAGCATTGGCTGGTTTGAGCTAGTCATTAAGCAAACTGTTCTACATTCGTAAAAACAGATACCAGCTGGTCAATAAGACCACTAAGTTCTTTTTGCAACGTGTTTACAGAGCAATTACCAGCCTGAACAAGCATAATTAGCTATAAAACCTCGCGTGTTTGCTATACGTTTATAAAAAAGAAAACCGAAAGTATTTCTGTAAAAATAAAATTACATATTTGTTGACGTAGTTACAAGGCTTGGCATTTGTACCTGCAATACAGCTTGTATAACCAAATTAAAGAGAACCTATAAAAAATAAGCATGGTTCTGCTAAAACAAATAAACAAAGGAATGATTATTGTAGTTAATACAGTTGTTAACATTCAAAGTGAATCAAAAATATGTATATTTTT